AATCTGTGGGATGTGGAGGGAAGTGAGGTGAGGCATTTCTAGGCTGCTCTCTACAACTTTGCAAATGTTCCTTCACACTGTTTCTTCCCTCCTAAGCCTGCTGGATTCAAATGAGAAGATGGCATGGCCTTAGAGGAATGGTGAAACTACTAAGTCTTGGGTTCATAACCTAAGTGTGGCCATAGATTCTTTTGTCAGACCTGGTCCCTGAACGACTCTGGAACCAAGTCTTCACCAGAGCACTTCCTTCCTCCTCCAGCTCACCTGCATTGGTCAAGAGATCATTTTTTTTTTTAAGCCATGGAGATTTGGGGGTTGTTAATATAGCGTCTAGTACCCTAATACAAACACTGGAGACTTATTCTCAGAAAACTAAGAGTTTTCCTCTTCTGATTTATTATTATCCCAAAACTTACTCTGCTAATTTCAGCTAGAATAGTTTATCCTCAAAAGAAATATGTCTTCTAGTTGGGTAAAGAGACAAAACTCTGTGTTAACCTAGGCATTATGTAGATTGATTCACTGAAGGTATTTAAGCAAAGGACAAGATCTAAAGATTCACAAAGGTAAAGAAGTATGGTCTGCCGAGAACTTCAACTTAGCTCTAATGTATAGGTTCACCTTAGCTGGGTGTGTAACCAACTGCTGATTTTTGGACAAAATCATTAAGTTCTGTGTTTTGCTTTCCTCGTTTGTAAGGTGGGTGTGTTTTCAGAATTTAGCAGCTAAAATGAGGTGAGGTCCTTGATAAAATCTGGAAATGAAGGCCAGGGATTTAGCTCAGTGGTTCCGCTGCCTGCCGTGCAAGCGCAAGGACCTGAGTTCGATCCACAGTATCAAAAATAAATAAGTAAAATCAGGAAATGATAACAGCAAGACTACTCTTTTGGAGTTATAATGTCAGCATTCCAGACTATAGTCACCTGAGAACAAATGGCTCCAGGTCAGCAAGTGTACAAACCGTGCCTCGGCCACTAGCTAATTGTCTTGCATTAGGGTAGTGACAGATTGGGTGGGCCTCTCAGCCGCCCTCAAGATGTGCAGACTCATAAATCTCATGCTCCACTGGGAATTTAATAACAAATATAGCTACCATGACCAGTTTGACCAAACAGTTGAGTAATGTCAATCAGAAAGGAGTGAGATGAACATTGCTAGTGTCCATCCGTAAGGATCTCTTGAGGGAGAAATTCTTCACTTTCAAATTCAAGCATTCTGGCTTTTAGTGTGGAGAGGGATACAGGAATTATAAATCTTCAGATTCTTAAAGCCCATTGACAAATGTAAGATTCCTCCTGATATCTTAAAACACTTTCTCTAATTTTCCTTGTTGTGATGGTAAGCTAGCAAAGCCACATAGTTATGTCTAGGTGTTCCTAAAATAGTGAGCTGCTACTGTTGTGTTGAGGATGTAGAAAAAGTAGGAAGCACTGTCCTAACAGGATGGCATCTATCAAACAAACATTCTTTTCTCTCTTTTTTGGTACTGGGGATAGAACTCAAGTCCTTGTACTTGTGAGGCAGGTGGTGGAATCACTGAGCCAAATCCCCGGCCTCCAAATATATTCTTTTTTCCCCCTCACAGGATTTATTGGTACATTTTAGGTATATAGTACAGTTATGTTCATCATTGGGATCTTGTGCCTTTACGTGACAGGTCTTGGTTCTCATTTTTTCTCCATACCCCTGCCAAACACATTCTTAAATCCTAATCCTTAGATGGAAACGTGTCATAGACTAATAAAGTGGGAGTCTGATATCTTGTGTCAGACTCATGTCCATTTTAGTTGATGTGAAAGTTTAAGGTCTGCATGTGACAAGGTGTCCCAGTAACTTTTAAGCAATGGGCAGGAAACTACAGTGTAGCGATCTAATTGTGCTTCACTGCATCAACCAGCTCTCCTTGATGCGATAACCACTGCTGCTGGGTTTTCATATCTGCTGGCCTCGCCAGACTTGGGTATAAACAGCCTGAGGTAACAAATGCTTTATAAACAGTGAAGTGCCATAGAAGGGCTAGTGATACCACTGTGGAACAAGGTGTGGGAATATGAGAATAGAGCAGGCAGCTGACAGAACCAGATGGTGAATGTTTGTTACCAAATTAGGTTCTGAGCACCAGATTACAAAGGATTTCTTATGGGACAGAATTTCCTCTGTGGAAAGTCTATACAGCTGGATTCTTAGCGCTGTGACTCAAGAGCATCAATGCATATCATGGCAGAGTGCAGTCCTGGGCCCTTTAAAAACTGCATCCAGCCAGGCACAGTTGGTCAAACCTGTAACCCCAGCTCTCCAGAGGCTGAGGCAGGTGGATCACCACAAGTTGGAGGCCAGCCTGAACTATATAGTGAGACCCTGTCTCAAAAAAAAAAAAAAAAAA